CTAATACAGCTTCCAGTATTGGTCTTCAATTTTCCAAGAGCATACAGCATAATGCGCTGCACTGAAATTTTCAAAAGCTGGCTCTACTCTCCTCATGCATCAGTCATTACTGGGAAAACAGGAGTTCATCTCTACAGAATGACTTAGTGCTGGATCTTAGCAAAAGGTACGTAAAATTGCCTTTTTGTTTTCTAAAGTGAATTGCATGCTTGTTTGTTTTAGGTTTTGCTTGTTTGTTTCTTCCTTAAAAAAGATTATGACAGAAACCCACAAAAAACTCCAGAGATAGCTTTACCTGCTTATAGATTTTTGTATTGCTCCTGTCCTATACATCTTTATGATTGCTTTCCCATTGCCTAAAACAGTGTCTGTTAGTCCACTGCCAAATAAAACTCAGAACAGGCCTCTCAGTTTAGTTCAAAGCATACATTAGAACTATGAAGTGAAGCTTGGAACCTGTATTGAAACTGCTTAGAAACTGTCAGTATCTACCATTAGCTGTGTACAAACCAATTTTTAGAATATATGCTGAAATTTGTGTAGGTTTATTACTCCTTACTAAAATAGCTTAGGAATATATTCACCAAAACATTAATCCAAACCCTAATAATTTTCTCAGAGACTAGCAAGGTCAGACCCAAGGAAAAAGCAGGTCAGTGTCTTTCACTAAAATGACCTACTTTCAATCTCTTGGCAATGAAACCTGAGCAGTTAACCTGAGGCCTCTGAAAGCCTAATGGACTGTGTGAACAGAAAAATAGTGCCATAAACTATCTGTCTGTTGGTCAATACAACTTTTAGGAAGATCTGGAATCCAGTTGTTGGCCAAGAATTATGTAAAGGCTAATAGAGTAGAGGGTAATTTAGCTGGTGCTGCTAATAGATGAAAAACTATAACAGACTATTTTCAGGAAAGTGTAAATAACATCCTCAGTCCTTGCTCTCCAGAAATAAATCTTGTGGCAGAAGTCAGTGAGCAGAGCAGTAGTGTGCATGTGGAGCCTTGGCACAAAGAACATAATGGGACTCCCTTCCAGGTTATGATTAGTATTTGTCCTTAGCTCACCTCCCTTTGTAAAGCAGCATTTCCTTGCCCTGGCCCTGTGATTCCTCATGCACTTTTTGGACTTCTGACCTCCAATTTAGAAGATAGCACCCAAATAGTAGTAAGATGTGCCCAAACAACACAGGTTTACTATAGGACATTAAATCCATCTTTTATTGATTATAATTAATTCCTCTGACAAATTTGCATATTCAGGGTACATAAATGAGAATTATGGAATAACAAAAAGACCAGAGCTCATACTCTTTCTCCCCCCAAGATCTCAGACCTGATTACTTGTCACCTGTCCAGCAGTGCTTCTTTCTTGCCTCCTACTTATGCTTTGTCCTATGTGGTTCCTCTATCTATAAATGATAAGCCTTCAGTAAAACTTAGTACTTCAATGGTATCTTTCTTCTAAGTAGTGGTAAGTACTGTAGAAATACTTTTTTTTTTTTTTTTTTTTAACAATGGTTTAATCAGTCTCTTAGGAAAACGGCACACCTAAATCATAATTCGCATTGTAGCTAAGAGGAAAGGATTAAGGGAGAAGCTTACAGTGGCTACATAATGGACAGATGGCACGCCTGTTGAATTTACATGCCAAGCACTGGGCTTGGTTGGCATCTGTAAGCAGATGTTTAAGCTGCATGCACATTTCCTGCTACTCCATCAAACAACACTAAATTTCTATTACTTTGCCTGAGGCCTTACTTCATTTCCCTGTGCTTACTGAAAAAATGACTATGGAGTGCATTCAGTAAAGGATTTAGGATGCCTGCAACACTGATTGCAGCACAGTATATGTGAGATAAAATAAGACAATTTTGAAATTGCATATTGTACAACAGTAAGGTTAGTTGGCAGGGCTTGTGAAGAGGTTGCATCAGTTTTCTCAAATGGCCCAGTTTTCAGAGCTAGCTTATAGGATTTTTATACTAAAAAGCTATGAGATTCAGAACAGATAAACCTGTACCTGGGATTAAATGAATAAATTTAATGTGAGCAACAATAACAACAACAACAAAAGATTTGAACAGGTTTTGAGAGGAAGAACAATTATCTTTATAGGCCTGAAGATAAAAAGGAGATGAGATAGGCAAGTGATTAGCCAAAGGCTCAGTGTTTTAAACAAATTTACCCTTTTGATGAGACAGCTGGTTTTCCAAGCAAGGGAAGTAGGATCCATCCTGTCTACATGTACTACTGGTGATATTTTGCATGAGAAGCTGTTTAAAAAGCTGGAGATGATATAGTAGAGAAATTATAAGATCTGTTGCAGAGCAGTCAAAAGAGATAAAAACTGGTATTAAAAAAAGAATAGGCATGTGCAGGAGGGAGGAGTACAGTATAGAGAAAACTTGGTGTTGTGTAAGGAGGAAAATATTTCTAAAAAAATAATAAATATATAACCACCCCAAAAATAGCAGCAACAACAACAAAAAATCACCAAACCAAAACATTTAAGCTGAGATGAGGAAGGACTTGGATGTATTAGTCAATCATATAACTAATCACAATTAGATTCAACTTCCCCAGTAAAGACTATAACTATATGGCTTTAGTGGTGCCCTGTCCAAAGGACTGGTTACAGGACTGGTCAGGGCACATTTGCAGCACCTGTCTCATGACAGAGGGCTGGAGGAGCCCAGCTACCTGAGTGTTCACAGCTGAGGGCTGGCAGAGAACGAGGTTCATCACTCCGTGCATTGTCAGTGAAAGAAAGTTACTAAAGTAAAAGAACAGAGTGTAAGAATAGATCATTATGAATGGCTGTGTATCACTGCAAAGTAGAAATGCAAAGACTCCTAACTATTAAAGAAATGAGGTTCAGGAACAGACTTGTAGTGACAGCTTAGGGCTAAAAATAATTTGTAAAATGGAGTTGATCTCTGCCTGCAAAATTGAGATTAGCACTGGAAAATCTCTTGATGGAATAATGCCCTGAGAATCCCTTGCTCCCCTTCTATTTAACTGGCTCTCCCTGTCCAGTTTCTGCAGCTGGTCAGAGCTGTCCCTCTCTGAGCACTTCAGTGCCTCTTTTTCAAAAGCTTGGATTAAGAAATGGTACTTTCTTGTATGTAAGCTCTGAGTGAATAGTGTGAGAGCACAAGTGGGTAGAATATAACAAACAAACAAACAATCAAAAAGCCACAAAAACTGGAGAGATGGCTCTTTCTTTTAGAAGAAAACGGGGAGGAAAAAGTGGTCATTCACTTAAATTTAGGAAGTGTAGGATGTGGCTCCCTCTCCATTTTCAGCTCCTTCCTTCTCTGTGAGCTGAATGAAGAGAAACACCAGAAGGACAGGTAGGATTGGGTTGAGGACACTCTCTGCTCTGCCTATGGAACTGGTGAGATGAATGAATGAAGATGCATGGGCCAAGCAGATGCAGGTGGCTGGGAAACTGAAAATATGGTCCAGTGCTTATGGTGTTCATTTAGAGACAAAATTCAGACTTCCTCATGATAGCACATATTTTGTCCAAGGATTATTCAAGATCTTGCTGGTAAAACTACCCTGTGACTTTTCAGAATTGGCTTCCAGCCACTCAGGTTGAAAAACAGCTTGACTCTTGCTCTTCCTGGCAGTGTTCCCTGCAAATAAATTGCACAACACAACCTCCCCTAGGCGTGTTTTTGAAAGTGTGAGCTCCTCTCTGTCTCTTTTAAGGTGTTAGGATACGATGGTGCATGCAGGCGGCTGAATAGGTTTCCAGCAGCCCTGACAGGCAATTAAATCTGAAAGGGTTTCAGATGCTGTTCTGTTTTTCTTACAGCACAGCTTTGGGGAGCACATTGTGAATTCCCTTCTGAGCCACTCGCTTTCTACCAGCATTACAGCAGGATCCTGATGGAAACTCTGGGATTTGTGGAGTGGGATGGGAGTCACATCCAACTACTGGTTCCTCTTATACTACGAGAGGAAACGGTGCCTCTTTTCATAATCATAAATCCTGCCCTACATGTTTTTGAGATTTCCAGAGCACTTGAGCACAGAATCATTTAAAGGCCTGCAGAGCAACTCTCCACAGAAATATCTGAGCTAGCGGTGAAGAAAACACCTGCAGACCTGAAAGTTTGATGGAATTGCTACACCAGTCTGGGTGTGCTGACTCAAGGATGGCACCTTTTAACCTGGGCCATGAGACAGCTCTTCCAGAGCGCTGCACTGGCAAATGGGTCTGCTCCCTGGTGAGTTAGCGGGGTGACACAGCAGCACACCACACAGCACTATGCAGACCATTGCAGGTGGTTATGGGAGGGCGTGGGTTGGTGGTGGGTCTTGGTAGGTCAGGTGGTCGGTTGGACTTCTTGAAGACCCTTTCCAACTCAATGATTCTATGGTGCTGTATTAATCATCTGCTGTCAAGCAGTGCTGCTGTGCTACAGAACTTCCGGAGGTGTTTGGGCACATGGAGATGCCTGGCTGCTGCTGGTTGCTGGGGCTTTAGATGAGTCGAGCTGCTCTCCTTGTACTTGTTTGTAGTGTCACGGGATGCTGTTTTAAATGCATCACACGTACACTATGATCTTCTGAGCGTCGGATAATGGGAAAATTGCTAAATCTGCACTTTCTACCCCATGCACGAGGTCCGCGGCTGAGAAACGCAGAGCCAAGAGCTTCCCATCGAGCTATATACTGTACTGACCTGGACCACAGCACAGCACACACCGCTAACTCCCCAGCTCACCTACAGACTATAAGCTGCGGGGCCTCGAGCGGCCTCCCGGCCTCGGCGTGCCGCAGCCGCGCCCCGGGGCGGGGCCTCCTCTGAGGCCGCCCGCGGATTGGCTGTGCCGCCTTGTGCCATCGTGACGCGGCGAGGGGCGGCGGGCGATTGGCGGGCGGGCGGTGCTGGGCGAGGCCGCCATGTAAAGGCGCAGAAGGGCCCCCGCCAGCTAACCGGCGGGGCGACGGCGGGAGCGGCGCCGGCGTGGTGCGGCGGCGCCCTGCCTCGCTGCTGGCCATGCTGGACCGCGAGCGCGGCTGGAGCGTTTCTTTTGCCGGCTGCGGCTTCCTGGGCGTTTACCACATCGGTGCGGCCACCTGCCTGCAGGAGCACGCCCCGCACATCATCCGCGACGCCCGGCACATCTACGGCGCCTCGGCCGGGGCGCTGGCCGGCGCCGTGCTCGTCGGAGGCGGCTCGCTGGGTCGGAGCTGAGTGGAGCGGAGCGGGGCGGGCGGGGCGGCAGGCTGGGTGCGGGGTGCGGGGTGGTGGTGGCGGGCCGCGTTCCTGCTTGGCCGACCTTGTCCGTCCGTCCGGCAGTCCGCCGAACCGAGCGGTGCCGGCTGCCCGCGCTTGTGTAGGGGTCGGGGCGGCGCTGCCGGCTGTGCGGGAAACGCCCCTCACGGCCCGGCCCGCGGCTGGAGGCGGCGCAGGGCTCCTTGCTGGGAAACGAGCGCGTCCCTGCTCCGGTTTGCTTTGCGCTAGAGCTTCAGTTAGTTTTGCCCTGCTGCCCCTATAGCTTCCCTTCTTTCCATTGGGGTGAGGCTGAGTGAGGTACGATCAGCGCTGATGCTGACTTCAGCGCGCTTCCCTTCTCTGGCCTCGGTATCGCCAGGTAGACGGTGGGTTGGTTAAGGTGGTAGGTGTTGATTTAAGGTGGCTGATGTCAATAAGTTGTTAGGAACAACTCCGGGGGGAACTTGGGCACCGGAAAAGGCTCCCCAGGGTCGTGGTAGAGCTGCTGGAGTTCAAGCTGTGTTTGGTCACAGCTCTCGGGAGTGGGGTTTGGTTTTGGGTGGTTCTGTGTACAGTGCAGTGCAGTGGGTTGGACACCATGACCACCGTGAGTCCCTTCCAGCTCAGGGTAACTAGGTGTTCTATCGGTCTGGCTGTGATTTAAGTAATCGAGTTAGTGCTGTTTTGTGTCTGTACCAGGTATTTCTTGATGACAGATACTAGTTTGCGAGTAAATGCACTCTGTTGTGAAATATTGCTTGCCTGACAGTGCGAGAAGTGTACCATGCTATTGAGGGCTTGTGAGAGCCCCTAAATATTGGCCTAGTAAACTTGACATGTTGAATTGTTAAAGCAGCTTGATACAATAAAATATTAAGCTGTTTTAAATAGTGGCTAGAAAGTGTTTTGAGAAGTGTATGAAATTTCTGCGAATCCAATAATGATTTTCCTTTTAGAACAAAAAGATCAGTTGCATAAAGGCTTGTGACTCAAAAGTGGCAGTCTTTGTTCGTGGTACCCCTAACGGGCTTAGAACTGTAAGACTGTATATTTACATTTCAGAGGGAGAGGAGAAAACAATGAGAACATGTTTTGAACTGAGAGAGTGTTTGGTTTTTCTCTTCAGAATTTTGGGGAGTTCTTCAATAAAATGGCAAAAGTTTTAGTCCATGTCTAGTATTAAGCTCTAGTTGGTTGTAGATTACTTAAAAGGTCTAGGAAGCTGCATTGAATATTAGAAGTGCTTATAAGCTCAAAAACAGTTCATATTGCTTACCTGAAAATATTTGATATCCGCAGCTTTTAAGAATTGTAGTGTTTTAAGAACTAAGACTTGCAAACTTCATTTTATTCCAGTGTCACCTCTTTCTTATGTGCCAAGTGGAATTATCTGTAAATAATAGAATAACTAGTGTGTTTGTGAGCACTATCCCTGGTACTAAGTTTTATGGGTGAGAGTGTCTCTCCTAGGAACTATCTTTTCTAAAGACACTTGAGGTTATTAGAAGACATATCAAAAGCAGCCACATTCTAAGATCTTTGAATTATTACAATAAGAGGGAATACCCATGTTAATTCTGCATCCTTATAGCTGCTAATTTTATATGTTTCTTTGAAAGCAGAGGGTCACCATTAAGGTCTTAAGAAGCATTATAATAATTTCATATACTTCATTGGTTTGTGCTGTGCGGCTCTTTTACACTGATATTGTGTAATACACAGTATTTATTTCTGCAGTTGTGGCTGTATGTCCCACATGTTTTCACAGTTGCCATTCACTGTAGGAAGAAAGATGAGTCAGCTTTCCTGAGAGATGTGTGGTGGAAGGGGCACAGCTGGAGCATGGGGAGTTCTGAGCAGATACTGGGAAACATTGGTGATGGGCAGACAGTTGAACTGATGATCTGAGAGGTCTTTTCCAACCTTGGTGATTCTATGATACAAAGAAAAGAAAATCTCCGTGGGATGGGAAAAATGTAGGGATAGGTGCCCATAGACACAGTAGGATCTCTGTCCTTGGAAATGTTCAAAACTTGACTGAACTCAGCCCAGAATTCATGTCCTTGTCTCTGCACATAAAACTACTGTTGTGTTTGTATACAGGATTTCTGACTTAATTTGACTTGTATGGTTCGCTTTTTGGAGGTTTGTACCTGGATGTTTTAAGTAAAGGCTTTCTTCATGCTTTTTGTTGTCTATTGGCTGGAGTATGTAGTTTGAGTTAATGTAAGCAGCCGCTGAACATGGGGGAGGTGGGGGGTGGGAAGAATTCTTTGCTGGATGGAGGGGGAAACTTTCTGCCGTGAGATCAGGGAAAGATGAAGGGAGGAGGTTGGAGGTGGCTGTACTTGAGAGGATGATGTGCATTTTAGATTGATCCAAACAGGAGGCGTTGAGGTGCTCACAGTTTAGATCTTCTCCATAGGTGTCTTGGATACTTGATGTTTTTGTGATGATGTGGTCACCCACACAGATGGCCGTGCTTAGAAGAAAACTGTGTGACTTAGTATGCTAAGAAAGGTTGAAGTATTATTACATGAGAGGAGAAAATAATATTGTAGAAAAACAATATTTAAAAAAAATGGAACTCAAAAGCTTAAGCGAAGTTCTTTCTAGTGCAGTGTTGATGATTAGTTTGGTAAGTCGAATCCTATCTGTTCTAGAAACGAGCTGTGCAAGTTAAAATTTGCAGGTTCTGAACATATTTGTGGGTGACCTTGTAATGTATCACTCAGGTTAATGACCTGTTACTTTGACCTTCCTTCCCCTTCTCCCCTTCCGCTTCCAAGCTGACTGGCTTATCAGGCAGTATCCCCAAAGTATGCCCTGGAGGAGCATAATACTCAGTGTTTAAACAAAACTTAGTCAGATGGATGAGCTGTTCTGTTAGTCTTGTTAAACATGGCTGTGTGTGATTGTTAGAGCAGTGTAGGTGTCCTGTAGGAACAATGGTTCTCTGTAGTGGTTTGCTCTAGTTTCTAAATGCTGATTTAATTGGAGAAAATTTAAGCCGATAGGTAACAGACATCTTATTTAAAATAATAATAATAAAAAAAAGCCTATTTAAGTGGAAACCTGTGTTGCAAATCACCACTGTGTTCCTTACCTACTGCTTTAAAAACTTAACCTGCTGAGTTTCCCTATCTGGTTTCCACTAAATGTTTCCTTTGCTGTGTCTTGTAACAGTATGTGTTGTTAATGTCAAACAAATTTTACTAGCTGTGATGAACCAAGGCTTCTTCAGCAGAGATAGTGTGGAGCTTAAATCTGTGTGTTACGTAATTTTTGTAGATGTTGCATATGGAATACGTCTGTGCTGGTGGAAGGTTACTCATCTTTGTTTCTTTTTAAAGAACGTGTTTCCAGAATGAATAATTTTTAATTAGAGTATTTCAAATGGGTGTTTTACATCTACAATCTATATGGCAATAACAAATATAAATAACTTAGTGGCTGGGTCCTCACCAGAACACAACTGTTTGATGTCTTAGTGACTCCTTTTTTTTTTTCTTCCTCAGAAGACTCAGACTCAGCTAAACACTGATGGGCTGTTAGTTTCTGTGTTAAAAATCTCTTGATGTCTTTTTTTTTTTTTTTTTTTTTTTTTTTTTTTTTTTTCATGCTGACAGCCAGTTGGAGCTCTGGACATGCTTTAGTAATGGAAGCGTGGGGTTTTGTTTGTTTTTACTTCCATCTTTAAATGAACTGTGTTTTATTTGCAGCTGAAGCATGTGCGGATGTTCTAGCGTTAGCCAAAGAAGCTAGAAAGCGGAATCTTGGTCCTCTTCACCCTTCATTTAATGTGATAAAGATAATAAGAGATGGCTTGATGAGAAATCTGCCAGAAAACACTCACCTGTTGTCATCGGGCAGATTGTGCATTTCGCTAACTAGAGTCTCAGATGGCAAAAACACACTGATATCTAATTTTAATTCTAAAGAAGAAGTAGTCCAGGTATGTTTGTTTTTGGCAACTTTTTGAGGTTTTGGTAGCCTTGAGTCCATTTAGTGTCTTCTGTTGCGTTTTTGATTTTAAACATCTTAAATCACAGTTACTTTGACTGCACTTTAAAAATTAATTCAAACTTTATTAGGATACTCATTTACAAGTTTTTCCAGTTAGTGTAACTGTGAATGAGGTGAGTAGGTGTGCAAGAAATCTATCTTAAAAACAGATATGCCTTTAAAGTGCTGTGCATCTAAAGCAACTCTATCTGTCATGAAGAATATTTTGCAAAGTTGTTCTTACAAAAGCAGTGGTCAGGAAGCATTTAAAAAGTAGCTTTTTTAAATTATTTCTTAATATCAGTGTAAAAGTTAGTACAATATCATTCCTCTGGAATCGTGCAGGTGTCCTGTAGTGGTTGCATGGCTTTCTCAGAGAATGTGTACCTTAAGGGAATTAAAGTGAACTTTTTCTTTTTAATTAATATTTCTACAGATGATCGTCTTGTAAATCTTTTTTTTAAGATGAAATATGATTACATTAATAACAAAATTGAATGTCCTCATCCTTCGTATGAAATAATACTTGATTGTAACTTCATTTTTTTAGTAATTATGTAAGAGGACTTCCTGGGTTTTTTTTTGTTGTTGCTTGTTCAGTTGGCTTTGCTAGCATCTGAAGAGATGAATGTAAACGATAACTTCAGTAACAGAGCAGTTACTGTTTAATTTATATAATCTCGTTTTCCTGCAGGCATTGATCTGTAGTTCATTTGTCCCAATTTATTGTGGCCTAATTCCGCCATCATTTAGAGGTGTGGTAAGTCTCTGTTAACAGCTGGAATAATTTTTAGATCTTCTGAAAATAAAAGAAAACAGTGTATATTCTTTTTTGTTATCATAGTATAAAAGAAATACACTCATCAAAGCTCTTAGTACTGAACCTATATGTTTGTTACAAGTTGCTTGTCTGTTTCCATTAATGCACATAATCTCATGGTTACATGATCTCTTGATACTTCATGGCTATGCTGAGTTTTTTCACTAAGTTGTATTTTCTGTACTTCCAAATCTCATTTCCTTTGAACAAGGAGAGGGGAGGAATGCAGGAAAAAAAAAAACAAACAAAAACAAACAAACAAACAAAAAAAAACATTAAAAAAAATAATAATAATTCCTTAAAAGTGATTGATTACAGTCTGTTCTCGAGGCTATCTGTAAGTACTAAAAGGTCAAGGATAGCCAGGAAATGCTTAAATTAAAGCAAAAGTGATTAGAACTGTATGGGGACTTTTCTTTATCTGTACTTCTGAACCTTGTATGTCTTTTTAAACTCCTCCAGATTAAAGGTGTTATGAAAACAGGACGTTGGACTGAATCCAAGGTTTAGGTGGATCCAGGATTATCTGGCTCTTCAGTCCTTGTCACCAGACAACAATGTTATTTTAAAAGACCTCATTCAGAGTACAAACATGCACAAGTGATGCTTTATTTGGCCCTGTTTTGAGGAAAGGGAAGGAGGAGGGACCTTATCCTTTTGTTATTTGCAATAACTTTGGTATCATTTTAATGCTTAGGAGGCATGTTGTAACTTGTATGCAAACATAGTATTCTTACCGCTTGATATGATTCCTGTAAGGCTTAAATACTGTAGAATATCCAATATTTAAACTTTGTAGATTCTTGCCATTTAGTGGCTTGGTGCTTCCTGCATGTAACACAGAGACTTGTGGGAAATGTTTAATAACTGTGCAATACTAGCAATGTGCAACAGCTCTTTACCTGTGTGCATCTGCTGCAACAACTGAAGTTTGGAGTATTTTCAGAGCATTACCTTCCAGACTGTGTTGCATTCCCTTTGAAAGCATGGCCAGTGTCAGTAGAAAAAGCAGGTTTGCTGAAGGACTTCGTGGTATAAAACAACGTCAGTTCTAAGCTAGCTATTCTCAGTGGTAGAACTGCCAGTGGCTGGTCTCTGTTGGATTTGAGGTCATTCCCCAATGTGAAGTTTCCTTCTGCCACCTTTTCTCCCTCCTGTCTTTAGTAAGAGGCAGTTACGTTGTGACAAGGCACAAGCTATGTGCCTCACCAGGCTAGTGTGCGCTTAGCAAAATGAATGAACTGAGATCTACCTGTCTTTCACTCGCTGGGAAAAAAAGGGATCTAAATAGAGGTCATCTTTTTACCTAACTGCCTGTTGTGACGTGTGTTGGGTTGATGATTGTTGTTGTATTTTGTTTGGTTTTGTTTTACACCTTTCAATCATATCCATGGGTTTAGATTCCAAACATGTTAAGGGGATCAGGTAGGCAGAAACTGTAAGCAAAAAGCAAAAAAAAACAAAAGCAAAACAACCAACAAAAACAATGACAACAGCAGT